TATGATCTGAACACCCCCGAAAATCTTTAAATTTATAAATGGAAAAAAAAAAAATGCCGTAAGAATTTTATTACCGTTAACAATAATTTTAAAAAAAATCCAGACGACACGCATTCAATGGATGTCAGTTTTCATTGAAAAATACATCCCTACCCCTTACCAAATTGTAGCTAATAACTGATACAATGATACTGTGATAAGGAAAACCTAGAAATCCCTTGTCCAATTGAAGTAGAATATTCTGTAACCATGGAAACGTGATTTTAGGTGTGTCTTTAAAACCCAGTAAAATTTTTAAAAGTTACTCCAAAATTCGCTTGAGGATGAAATGGAACTAATGCTTTTAATTTAATTGCAAAATTAAATTCAGGTTTTTAGCTTTTATTTTGAAACATGGTTAGAACTGTGTAGCGGAAAAAAAAAACATATTTTAAATCAATTAATTTATAATATATATATATATATATATATATATATATATATATATATATATATATATATATATTTCGTCTTGGTCAATTAAGATAGGATACGGTAAATATCACTTTCCGTAACGCAGATTTCCTTATTTGCTGAATGATCTTCATCAGTCTGTTATGATCCTAGGAGTTGACACGCGGCACGTGAGTATAGGGATCGTCTAGCTTCAAATTAATCTTGAACTAGGCTTTTCGTCTCCTTTGTTGTTCCGTGAGTTATTTACATTTCACTGAATGAACCATTTAATTAATCAAAATAAATCGTTTAAGAATTATGTTTCTTTTACCCCTACGTTTCTTACATTGCAGTCTTATTTGTTCAAGCCCTTCACGTGAGGCAACCAGATACCTTTTTCTATAATCTTGCTTTAACTTAGTCTTAAACTAGGCTTTTCGTCTCCTTTGTTGTTCTGAGAGTTATTTCCATTTCACTGAATGAACCATATATGTATATTGTCTTGTTTCAACTTAGGCTTTTTATCGCTTGTTGTTCCGAGAGATATTTCCACTTCACTGTTATATTAAACAAAATTTTCTACGCTAAAAGTCGAACATTTTACACTACTTACATTGTTACATTCTCTGTCCTCATGTTTATTGCCGCATTCACGATACTTCGACCGTTGTACGCTCCAGCCTTCTTCGGGTGATAGTTGTTGAAATTTATAACTGAACCCTTTATTTACCCGAAGAAGGTATAGTCGTAGAGCGATCAAAACGGTGTGAAGGTGTCAATAAAGATGAGATCGACAGTCAGAAACAGTGTAAACTGTTAAAATACCTCATCTCAGAAATATAGACAGATGTTAAAATTTGAGCATTGCGCAAAAAACGATTTATATAATACGAGTAGTCTATGAATCATAGATACCATTGAAAGTCTAAAAAATATAAAAGGAACGGAATAATTAAACGGTTTTTTAGCTTCTATTTTAGTAGTGAATTCTTTATCTTCTTTGGGGAATTTTTATGACATTATTTCAAGACTTTTGTTTCATTGCATCTCAGTGTTAAAACTTTGTAACAATTCCCGTCATTTGTGTCGGTACGGGTACACTAATAATAATAATAATAATAATAATAATAATAATAATAATAATCTAACCACCCAGAAATTGTTATTAGAGACCGCAAAAAAAAAAGTGCCTCCTTATTGATATGAAAGTCCCTGCGGACTGCAATGTATCTTTGAAGATCTACAAAAAGCTATCAAAACACAAGGACCTTGAAATCGAAATCTCAAAAATGTGGCACATGGGAACATCAACAATTCCTGTTATAGTTGGAGCCCTCGGATTGGTTGGAAAAGATTCCAGTCGATTAATTTAAAGGATTCCTGGAAGCCCATGCCTTAAAGAAATACAAAAAATTTTTCTCACGAGTACAGCCCACACCTTACGAAGGGCTTTAACTAGGTAATTTTTTTTTGTCTTTGGAAAATATCATGATGCCATTTTTAACCTTAGGTCTCTGGGCGAGACCCGGGAAGAAATGTGTACACACCAGAAATCAAAGATATATAATAATAATAATAAAAGATGTAAAGAGCCAAAAGTGATTACATATTGACGTAACAATCCTTGCTGATACATTTCAGTTCAAAACTTAAGTAATTGCAAAGAACTAGAAATTCAAATTCAGAAAATATCGCATCTCAAAACTGAGAAACCCGAAAATTCTTAATGGCACATTAGGAAACCAAAAAGTTATTTTTCACGACGACTCGGTGAACCGTATTCGATTGAAATGCTAAATGGGCACTACTCATATTATCAGAAATGTTTTACCAATATGAAAAGATATGGACCTACACCGATAGAATGAATTATTTTTCATATTTTGAGAGTACGGTGAGTTTACTTGATTTATCATCTGTGACATAATTCTTCTTGTTTTTTTTTTTAATTTTCCATTTAATCTGATTAAACATTTTAACTGTACATAATTTTCATCTGTACTTACACATACACCATTCAATGAAAGTTTAAAATAATATACAGAATCATACAGTTAAGAAAAATGGTTCAGAAAATGTCAGCTACAAATCTAATAAATTATACACACAATTATGATCTTTTGACTTACAGTCTCTTGAGGTTTCAGGTTGAAACTTGCAGACAACACGCAAAACGAGCAAATTCAAAACGAGATAAATTTATATGTCTATATTTCTGAGATGAGGTATTATGTACATTATTTACATTATTCGGACTATTATCCTCATCTTTGTCGCCATATTTATCACCCTTCAGTATCTGTCTATATTTCTGAGATGATTATTATATACACTATTTACATTATTCGGACTATTGTCTTCATCTTTGTCGCCATATTTATTACAACGTTTCGGCCTTTCAGTATCTGTCTATATTTCTGAGATGAGGTATTATGTACAATGTTTACATTATTCGGACTATTATCCTCATCTTTGTCGCCATATTTATCACCCTTCAGTATCTGTCTATATTTCTGAGATGAGGTATTATATACACTGTTTACATTATTCGGACTATTGTCTTCATCTTTGTCGCCATATTTATTACAACGTTTCGGCCTTTCAGTATCTGTCTATATTTCTGAGATGAGGTATTATGTACAATGTTTACATTATTCGGACTATTATCCTCATCTTTGTCGCCATATTTATCACCCTTCAGTATCTGTCTATATTTCTGAGATGAGGTATTATGTACAATGTTTACATTATTCGGACTATTGTCCTCACCTTTGTCACCATATTTATCACCCTTCAGTATCTGTATATATTTCTGAGATGAGGTATTATATACACTGTTTACATTATTCGGACTATTGTCTTCATCTTTGTCGCCATATTTATTACAACGTTTCGGCCTTTCAGTATCTGTCTATATTTCTGAGATGAGGTATTATGTACATTATTTACATTATTCGGACTATTATCCTCATCTTTGTTGACATATTTATTACAACGTTTCGGTCTTTCAGTATCTATCTATATTTCTGAGATGAGGTATTATGTACATTATTTACATTATTCGGACTATTGTCTTCATCTTTGTCGCCATATTTATTACAACGTTTCGGCCTTTCAGTATCTGTCTATATTTCTGAGATGAGGTATTATGCACATTATTTACATTATTCGAACTATTGTCCTCATCTTTGTTGACATATTTATTACAACGTTTCGGCCGTTGTACGCTCCGGCCTTCTTCAGGTGGATGGAATGTCAAACTGAACATATTCTCGATTGGATTTCTCGCTTGTGGAACTCCCTTCCGGCTCCATGCTTTCCAACCAAATTTAATTTTCAAAAATTAAAATGCAATGTCAATCGATATCTACTGTCTTCTTGATTGCTATTCTTTTATTCTCTGGAAATATTTCAGATATGACGTATTGCCATATTCACGACGTCTAGGCTGTTATACTCTCCGGCCTTTTTCAAGTGACACATAGATAAAGGCCTTTGTTGGATCCAGTGAGAGAGTCATGGCACGTGGAACTAGAAAAAATCTACCCCGGTGGATGAAAAAAAAAAAGTGTTCAGTTCGAAATCCCAATCACCTGAAGAAGGCCGGAGTGTACAACTGCTTAACCGTCGTGAATATGGCAATAAAGATGAGGAACATAGTCCGAATAATTTAAATAATCTTCTTTTGTTTTCATTATTTATCAATGCTTCTATTTTCTAATTCCTCCACACCCAGTAACCCCTTGTGTCTTAGTGGCTTTATTGCCTTCCTTGAGGTGAACTCGATAAAAAAAAGTGACTGGAAGGACTATAAAGGGGACGAACTTTGCTTCGATCTACAAAGGATAGGAAGATTTGGAGAACCATAGTCGCTCACGTCCTGAAGCAACATAGCGTAAAGAGATATAATGATGGGCATATTAAGCTTCGTATATTTGTACTCCGGCATCACTTTGGTGGCATGTTAACTTAATAATAATAATAATAATAATAATAATAATGTCACATATATATATATATATATATATATATATATATATATATATATATATATATATATATATATATTACAAGGCTCAAAGGTAAAAACATCACTGTTTCCGAACGTATCAATGAAAAAAAGGCACTCGATCAACGACAATTATATTTACAATAAACACGAGCAATCATAACGCCGACGAGACAATATCTGCTAATGGGAATAACAACGAGAAAACAATGATTACAGAACAAATCACGCAAAAAGCGAGAATCCAAGAAGGAAAACTGGCGGCAAGTTTGTTAGGCATATGAAAAGACGAAAGGAGGAAAGAATAGATGAAGTAAACACTCGCAAGAAAAAGTAAGTCAATCGTAGTATATTAAATAATGGAATGAAAGTAAGACTTCAAAAAAATATCAGAGAAAACAAACGATTGATAGAAAGAAAAGAAGATAAAAGAAAAACAAATATAGATTGATGCAAAAGTAAGAACGGAACGAAAAAAATGGTCGCTATATTCATAAAAGAACAAATAATGTCAGCAACAGACGGGGAGGAGGATAAAGGCAAAGCAATTCTAAGGATGGAAAGAAAAGGGGAAAATGCTTTATCAGAAACTGGGAATAGGACACAGAGAAAGTTAAAAGGTAGGAATGGCAGAAATTACAATTTACTTTTTTTCTGTCATACTTTCTGTCTCTTGATCTGTTTCACCTGTTATCTCTCATACTTTCTCTCTCTCTCTGCCACTCTCTCTATCTATCTGTCTATCTATCTCAGGTGTCCATATCTATCTATCTATCTATCTATCTATCTATCTATCTATCTCAGGTGTCCATATCTATCTATCTATCTATCTATCTATCTATCTATCTATCTATCTATCTATCTATCTATCTCAGGTGTCCATATCTATCTATCTATCTATCTATCTATCTATCTATCTATCTATCTATCTGTTTCTTCATTATATATCTATCTCAGAATGTTCATTATCTATCTATCTATCTATCTATCTATCTATCTATCTATCTATCTATCTATCTATCTATCTATCTATCTATCTATGTATTCAGGCACCAATCCTTCGGTTATGCATATTTCATTGAATGTGGCGGATAAAGGAAGTTCTGTAAATTTATTTACTTTTTCTAGTAAATTTACAGATTTTTTTTTTAATGAGGACTGAGATTGTGTAGCAACAGTCCATAGCGATTATTAACCCAGACACTTTCGGTAAACTGATTAGCCATTTTCAACATGTTTGTTCTTAGTATATTTTTGCGTTTGTATTCTAAGATGTGTTCTATAAGGTTAGTAATAATACCATGTTGGGATGGCCTAAGATTACGTTTCATCCGGCTTCAAAGGAATTAATCTTAAGTGTAGGCCTGTAGTGTTTTATAAAATGAGTTTCCATTATCTTTCAACGTCTTTTTCAATTAGATGTTTATAAAATATCATTGTTATACACAAGGATTTTTCGTATGGGTTTGGAAGGCTGCGTATGTGTTTAAAGTGATTTTCGTGTGTAATGTATTCGTTTATGATTCTATATTTATTACGAGGCTCACGGCTTTCCAGAGGACAAAAGCATTTGTAGATTACAGTGGTGGTCTGAAGTTTGGATTTTATGGGCTTGTTTTTATTATGATATGACATTTACAAATTTTTATTTAGCAAATTAAACACAAAAAATATACGCGCACATATATAGAAACATACACATCTTGAGATTCTTGTTAGAAATTCGAAGATCGGCCTCTTATCAATCCTGAATAGGCATCACCGACGTGACGTGGCTTTCCTCTGTCTTTTCCCATTGTGCCTCGAGTACATGGATTTAAGTGTGCGACTCGATTGGCAACTAGGTTTAAACGTTTTATTATTGAGCTAGTTAGATGCAACCGCCACTTCTAATATTGCAGTTTCGTTTCTCGTCCTTCTCAAACAACGTCTATCTCCGTATTCTGTCTTCTGGAATCCTGTTCGTTTATTTCCTGTCCTCACTGTTAATAACAGCCCCCCCCCAACAAGGGATGTATGTGGCACAAGGCCGAGTTTACCGTGGATTCTCCGAGCCCGTAGGCTCGGCCAAAAATATACCCGTAGAACCCGCATAAACGGGCCCGGGCCTGTCTATCTCCCCGGAGGAAAATTTGCCCTTCGGCAAAGCCTCTTTCGGGTTCCTCTCTGCTCAAGGCAGAGAGTTTGACAGTAACGAACAGGGTATAGCATTGCTCCCTCACTTTTATATTTAACGCTCCCTACTTACGTGGGTTGTATGTGGTACAATGTCGGTTTATTGTGGGTTCTCCAAGCCCGTAGGCTCGGCGAAAAATATTCCCTTCGAACCTGTATAAACGGGTTCATGGCATGTCTACCTCCCCGGACAAAATTTTGCTCTTCGTCAAAGCCTCGTCCGGGTTCATCTCTGGCGAGGCAGAGAGTTTGACAGTAACAAACAGGCTGTAGCACTGCTCCCTCACTGTTAGTCACTAAAGTCTTCTTAATCAATTTCACTCCTTGTATCCTAGTGGCATTATCGCCAGGCTTGGGGTGAAATAATTAATATATATGATGGACTCTACCGACGAATTCGATTTATGAGCTTCCGACGGAAACTTACTAATTATCTACATGCCTATGACGGGCATGACTTTTGAGGTCGGCTCGAGAATTGCGCAAAAGACCACAAACAGTACAGGAAAAAGTATAGTATGCATATGCAGCAGGGACACTGTTAGCTGTTTAATTTCGTTTTCGTATTACACGCAGTCGAATGATGCTTACTGCTTGAAGGTGCTTTATTCCTGAATAGCAGCTGGAACGATATTACGAGATTACGGATTCAAATTAAAAGACAGGAAGTGTGGATTTTTTTAGAGACGATTAAATACTCGGGTCAAATACTTGGCAAAGACGGAAGACGTCCCAACCCAGATAGGGCAATAAAGAATATGCCAGCACCAGAAAATGTGTCGGCTCTTCAAAGATTTTTAGGTCTAGCCAATTATTACAAGGTTTTTGTCCCAAGAATTCATTGTTTGAGAGCTCCACAATGGATTATTGAGAAAATATAAAGATTGGGAATGGACAACCAAATGTCGGGAAGAATTTGAGAAAATAAAGGAGGTCCTTTCATCAGATGTGTTCCTGATTCATTACGATCCACACCTTGACATAATCGTAGCAAGCGATGCTAGCTCTTACGGCATCGAGGCGTGCATTTTACACAATTTAAAGGATGGATCGTTAAAGCCAATCGTCCATGCATCTAGGACGCTATTACCAGCTGAAAAGGGTTACTCGCAAATAGAAAAGGAAGCCTTAGGAATCATTTTTTGCGGTGACTAAAGTCCATAGATTTATCTATGGAAGGTACTTTTTGTTGCAGACAGATCATCGTCTACTTTTTACTATCTTTGAATCAAAAAAGGGGGTCTGCCAACACATACGGTTAATAGACTGCAAAGATAGGGAACCATTCTCCTCAATTATAACTACAAAATGGTGTTTCTCGCATCCACTAAAATCTATCATGCAGACGGGTTGTCTAGATTGATACCTAAGTATGCTGAACCCCTAGAATACACAGTCATTGCTGCCATAAGAACAGAGATCGAAGTAAAAAGTACCTTGTGCAATACTGTCAGGGAACGTCCTATAACAATGGACGAGACAATAGACAAAGCGCCCGATGGTGAGTTTATAAAGGAAGTGAAGGACAAACTAAAAAGTAAAGACCAGAATATCCCTGAAGTTTACTTGCTCTGTAATGACATATTAATGTACGGAGACAGGGTAGTAATCCCATCTACACTACAGAAAAGAACTTTAAAGGAATTTCATTTTAGCCATCGGGAACTTCAAGAATGAAGAATCTGATGAGGAGTTACGTCTACAGGATAAACATGGACAGGGATATTGAAAACACTGTAAATTCGTGCAAAGGATGTCCTTTGGCCGCTAAAGCACCCCCGATAAAATTCAATCCCTGGCCTAAAACCGACCGTCCGTGTTCGCAGATACGCACTGATTTTGCTGGCCCACTTGATGGTTTTTACTAGCTTGTAGTAGTTGACAGTTATTCCAAGTGGCCAGAAATATTGAAATGTAAGAAGCCGACCTCGGAGGTGACAGTAAAGTTTTTACACGAGCTATTTTCCGGTTTCGGAGTTGTTGACTGTATCGTAACAGACAATGCCACACAGTTCACATCCTGTGAATTTAAGAATTTTTGTCAGTCATTCCTGATCGAACAAATTACCACGGCGCCATATCACGCAAGAAGAAATGAAAAGGCAGAGCGTTTTGTGGACACTTTCAAGAGAGCAGTGAGGAAGGTGAGAGGTACTCCCACCGATACGGCTATAAAGCAGTTTTTGCAGGTCTATCGTGTAACCCCTAGTAGCAGTGCTCCATCTGCCAAGACGCCAGCAGAGGTCATGTTTGCCAGGAAAATAAAATCTGTATTTGACAAATTCCGTCCGAGTGAAACGAAAGCAGAAAATACGAATAAAGTGTTTAAAAAGCGCTTTAAGATCGATGAAAAGGTTTATTTTCGTGTATTTGGGAATAATAAATCACACTGGGAGATAGGAACAATAGACAAACAAATTGATAACATGATTTACATGGTTCAGGGATCGAAGTTTATACACAATCATCATGTAAACCAAATTAGAAAACGGTATGAAAATGTAGTCGGCAGGGATCCTATAGAAGATGACATTATGGATGTCGTCTTTGACACGTTTGACGTTCCAATACCACAATCAGTGCCAGAGCTCAGAAAGCCCAAAAGAAAATGGAAATTTACGGAACGTTTAGAAATTAACCCGAAAAAGAAAACATATTGAAAATCTTTCATTTCATACCATGTCTACAGAAAAAGGAAAAGAAGGAAAAAAAAGCCATCTTCTCACTTATGAACTTTGAATTAACAGAAAAGCACAATATGCATTGGATTATGGGAAATTATTATCATTAAAAAAAAATTGTAAACGTGATTGTGTTTGTTTATGATTTTTTTTTTGATTGAATAAAAAGTGTTGTGTGGTAATTATATAAAAAAAAAAAAACAAAAAAAACACTCCATATGAAATCAGGGTGAAAAGTGGGTGTTGTGGTGTCCTCCCTCTAAAGAGTCTATGTTAAATTATTCCGCCTACTATAAGATTAATTGGACAGAAGGCTTCGGGGAACAGTGAATAGATTGAGCGCTAGTTTATTCGATACACTCTCACAAGTCGTATAATACTCTTCTGGTCTACTTACTGTTAATATACGATATATCTGCAAACCTGGTTTTTCTTATTACTTAACCATTTACTTGTTTAGAACAATATATATATATATATATATATATATATATATATATATATATATATATATATATATAGGGTGTTCATAATGTTCGTGTGCACTTTTTAAAAATTATAACTTTATTTGTATTTGCGATACAAATAATTTGTAAAAAGGATTAGAAAGAAGTAAATCTATACTTTTTAAAGTTTTTATTAAAATTTTATTTAAGTTTCCACATGTCCTCCATCATTGGCAATACAAAGGGTAATACGATTTTGCGGTTCACGGAAAACATTTGCCAACTGATTTACAGTAAGGCCTGAAATCACATTAGTTATTTTAGCTATACTTCAAACTTGGTACATTAAACTTTATAACATTTTTTACAGCTTATTTCTATCGCAAATACAAATAAAGTTATAATTTTTTAAAGTGCACACGAACCTTATGGATACCCTCTCTCTCTCTCTCACTTCCCCTCTCTCTCTCTCTCACTCCCCTCCTCTCTCTCTCTCTCTCTCTCTCTATATATATATATATATATATATATGTATATATATAGATGATTGTGGGGCCACCCTTTGGACTTTGGACACAAATTTGCATATTCCTTTAGGGTAGTTATTCTCAATCTTCTTTTGTTTTACGTATGATCCTCCACCTGATTCATATTTTACATTAATGCCCACCCCCCTAGACATTCAGTGTTTGAAAATTCGTTTTTGTATTTTTTATAATTAAATATTATTAGGAACTGT